CAAGCCGTCTCCAACCATTATTAGTCTCAAAGGGGGTTCCTCGTCATCGAATCTGTCCAGTACTTTATTATTTCTAGACCTGGACCAGCTTCCTCATTTAATACTGTTGGGAACTTACTTTTTAGTAGTATATAGCAATGTAAATATATGGGTGTGTTGGGCTCAGGATTCTTCTACAGTAAGTGTCTGTGACTTGGTGGTGATAAATTCCACAATAAATGAACAGCACGCACTCCACTTTGTTTTAAACTAATATATGTATTCAAAACAAGTTAAATGTAAGTACAAAATACTTTACACTATGGAGATCATATTTGTATCTTAAACACTATATAGTTCTCTTTTTATTGTCAAAAGTCCTCTTAGGCCAATTCAATTGCTTTAAAATTCAGTTGACAAGCTGAACTATTTTTCACTATTTTTACCTCAATAGTATCCTTGTATAATTCACTTAAATTGTCATGTGACTTACCACAGTTGTATCCTGAACTTCTAAAAATCGTCTGCCTTTGTCAAAGTCTACACAGGAGGGTACAATTAATTTAGAACACTCTTTGACGAGACAAATTATTCTCCTTATCTCTCTGAAAACTGTTAATCTCACTCTAACAAATCAACCGTCAGGCCATTCACTCCCATGACAGTGGGAGTGAATGGCCTAATGGCTGATATGAATCGGTATTAGCAGAACATTTAGCGGAAACATCTCATGTTATAGACTGGAATAACACTAAGTTGATAAAACAGATAGAATTTAAAATAGAATTAAATATCACAGAAACTATTGAAATGGAAAAAAAAAAAAAAAAGACATCGTATTAAACAAGGAAGTTGCTCCAGGTCTAGAAATAATAAAGTATTGGACAGGTGTGTTGAAACTTTGGGTAGTTTAAGTCTAGGTGCCATTTTGGTATGTAAATGATTATGTGGGTATATAAGTCACAACCTTGTTTTTAGCATTACTCCTGAAGATGGTGTCATTAGACAGCGAAACATATGTAGTCATTTTAGGGCAAGTTCCTGTTTTTAATAACTATTTATTGTGTAAGATTTTAATGTTGTATTCCTTTTAATTATAGATAAACTTTAAATTTATACAAATATACCTGCAAAAGTACACACACACACACACATATACTGTTCATGAAAGGGTTAAAGGAAATACATTTTCTAATGAAATATAACTGGATTTTATCTGAATATTAAATCAAACAACCAGCTTACAACTAATTCAATCCTTAGACATGCATTTTCTTTAATGATATTATATGACATAAGAATACTAATAATGCTTTAACATTAGACATACCAGAAGGTATGCTGGTGGTATCCATTGCTTGACTGTTTTCACTTCCTTGATGGCTGTCATCATGTGGGCTATAGGCTGGAGGTGGAGTTTCTGCTGTAAATTTCAACAAATTTAATATCAATAAAGTGAAGCACATTAACACACAAAGTAATCTCAGAATAATAATATTAGGTCTCTAGCATTGGGCTTGAAAGCTAACTTTCATACTTTTCTTCAGAGCCCCTAAGTTTTCATTTATCTATTTTGGGTAATATCAACCTAAAGTAATACTGATACATTGAACCGTCAGTACTTGGTGAATCTCCATAATTACAGAATTGAGAAAAAACAAGACAATTGTACATTTCATCATTACATCATTTATTACAACCATGGTTTTGCCAGTAAAGTAATATTTGTTGAAATATGATCCCCAAATCTGATTCTACTGAAGCATATCTCAGCTTATTACATTATCCATTAATAGCATCATACAAAATCCAACATAACTATCTTGTCACAATGATACATTTTATTCAATTTGAATATTTATTTCCAAATGCTTATCTATGCAAAGAAGAAGATACATGCCATTCTATAAAATTATATAATTTTTTAGCATTAAAATATAAAATGTTACAATATTAATTTAGCTCGTGACAGTGTTGAATTTTTTAAAATACTTGGTTTCCTGAAAAAAAACCACATACATGACTTAGATATAGTGTTGGTAATATAAAACAAGCATAAAAAAATATTAATATCAAATATTAAACTGTAGCATAAGTTACTGTTTTTTATTCACATAAAAGGTGAGAACGAGAAAACTATAATATTTTACTTTGTAATATGTAGTTAATAGCCTTTGTGGTGTTAAAATGGATTAACAGAATGAGTTTATTGCTAATATCATTATAAAACACTACTGTACATGTTAACATTTTCCTAAACTGAAAATGTATTTCCAATAGATACTACCTCTTCTCAGAAAAAAACTTTCTTGGCTTATACTGCCTTCTATAAGAGCCGGTCAATAGTCAATACGGAGCCACCAGCAGAACACTACACTGAGTGGTCTGAAGTATGGCAACAATATATGGGAGGAAATGAATAAGAGGATATGAATATAGGTACCAACCCAACCAATCCCGACTGAGAACAGCAACTGCTCCAGCTAGAAGATGAGGAACAGGATACTAAAAACGGGGAAGTGGTGTATTGAGAAGAGTGGCAAAAGCATCCAAATCTGGAACACAGTACCATAGCAAGTTTTTCCACTCGGGGGTGGGGGGCAGAAAATTTTAAGGGTGGCCAATAAATTAAAAAACAGAAATTGATCTAAATTTTTAATATAATGGTCATTAAAACAAATCAAATGTAACAGTGTTTATAGAAGTTTTATTTGTTTTTTATTAAATGATAAAAAATGAGTTTATTATATATCAAAGCTGAAAAATAATATGTGATTAATCTGCTTAAATTTTTTCAGGGGAAGGCCGGCTTGCTGGTGTAGAGAGATAAGTATCATTTCTGAATTTAGAAGAGAAACCCAGATAGCCTCCCAAAGATTGAGTTTAAGTGGGTAAGCATAATTCAAGGTCTTTAATGCTGCAAATGAGGGTTTGACTGATGGAGGAAACTGATTATGACAGCAAAATATGTGAAGTGTACAGCAAACAAAAGTGATGTTTAATGTTATGAATACCATGGATAATTTTGTATTGGATAAATGGTTATATTTCAAATTAGCTCTTACAGAAAGAAATTCTATGGTTCTGACAGCCTTGCAGAGAAACTACAGTTAATGTAGAAATTATAGCTACATATACATATCACATAACAGAGAACTAAAACAAAACTCAAATATTTAGTAGCACAACTTTTCACTTCTTTTGTTCTTAGAAAATAAATTCAAATATTTTTAAGTCTGATAACTTTAAATCTGCAAGACACAGTGAGACTGATGTATGAGACCACAGTGTAACTTTTGTTATGCAACTTGCAGCACCACTATCTACTGCATATTAGTTCTATTCAGTTAAAAGTAATTTTCTCTTTAAAAATTGTCTATCAATAATCATTTGTTTTCTTCAATGAAATTATCATATACCACTAGTACTACTATTTTTTTATTTATTACAGCTAAGAAATTTATTTTTTAAATTAAAAACCTAATGAGACCTGATATGACAGAATATATGAGGTTTAATAATCCTGTTAGGCATTCTAATCGTCATCATGTCTTTTAGTTGTCCACTGGAGTATCAATGAGCAGTCCACAATTTTTATCCATTTAGTTAAAAATATGTTTTATGCAAACTTAAAGGAATTAAAAAAAAGAATAAACTGTATTTAATAAAAAAACAACCAAACTACCAGGAAGTCCAAATGGACTGTTTGGTGCTGAGCTACTGATGTGTGATCCTGGGGATGAAGCACCTGTTACTGCAGGCCCGGAGAAGTTGTTTATAGTAGGAGGAGGGGATGGAAACCCCTGAGGAGAGAAACTGACATTATGAGGCATAGAAGGTTCAGGAACTTGTTGAAAGTTACTAATAACAGGATGTCCTGGAGGAAATTCACTGTGACGAGGCACTAAAACAGGTGGCAAAACTAAAAGATGAGAAATTCAGAAAAGGATTAACAACTGAAAGAAAATATATAAATGAAGCATAAAAATTATCATAAAAATATACAAACAGGCACTTAATAAAAAAAACAAAAGTGTGAATATTAATTTAAAACAATCAATGTTTAACCAGCAGTTAGATATACATCCTTACATCACTTAATTCAAGCTGAAAATAAAACACATAACGTGTACATAGCTTTGTTTCAAAATTCTAAAGGTTATGTTTAACTATACACATATGGTATTATAATTTTCTTTTTAAAAATGCTGAAACAATATACTGTATGTTAAAATTTCAATTTCTAATTAATTTCATCTGTACTTATCAAATTGACAAAAACAAAACACTGAGTTAGACCAATTTCAGGTAATTCAGCCCCTCATTACTAATTCTAAACCATTTCAACTTTGTGACAACAGGTGAATTGGATGACAGACCAGGATTCTTGCCTTCTTTATCAAAATTTTGGTGATGAGAAAAAAGTTCATTATATGGAACATCTTTTCCACTGAATAATTCAGAAGAATAAGTTAGTAACAGTAATGCTATGTATTATTCAGATATTTATATAAATATAGATTCATTGTGGTGAGTAAATAAAATTTTAAACACTATAAATTAACCTAATTGAGACAAAGCAATGATAATCTGAATACTTTTTCTATATATTAAATCTCATTTCACCATTTTTATACACAGACTTATTGATCATATTGTGGATTTAATCACATGGCATAAGCTTGAGCCTGGTTTCTTCTTCATTATTTCATTATCTATATTTTTAGTGCAGTTTATATAGGATGAAAATGGGTGTAAGTAGCTCTACAATTGGGAGTAAACTGTGTTTTCAGTCATCTTTAACTACTAACACATTTCTGACAAGTTATGAAAAAATTGATTAATTCTTGCAGCCAGGCAAAATGTTACATACTGTACTATTAGCCTAATATAATTACAGTTTATGCTGCATAGGTATGTTAAAGTAATGTCAACTAAATTGGATACCACAGCAGCTAAACTGGTACGTTTTAACTAAATTTTTGTTGTACTATTAACCAAAATGACTCAATATAATCATTAAATTAGAGCTTACCTGTAGAGTAATAATTAGTAAAAATAATACTTATTTGTGTATAAAGTCTTACCAGGACTTTCTATTCTCTTGTAATGATATGGATTGATGCAAACATCTTTCTGTTTGGCAGAGAAAGGAAATTCACATAATTCTAAAGGTTTTAATTCATGATGGCTCTGAAGATCTGGCCAACGCCATACTCTACAGTAGATAACATGAGGTAGCCCTTTTCTATGAGACACCTAAATCAGACATAAAAATTCTGGTTTTCTTAAAATTGTAATTTCTGTGTTTTAAAATTTAATTAATCTGGAATTAACTTAAGAGTCTGAAAAATGTTTTTTATTAAAACATTTTCATTGTTAAAAGTTCTCTAAAATTTTGTTATTATTCTGATGGCAGTTCAAGTTTTGAAGTTTTTACTTTGGCAATACACTTATTTGAATTGCACTGATATTTTGTATTGACACAAAAATCTTTACCCTGAGCTATTTCATTATTTTGCACAAGCTTTGAAACCTGTGATTCAAATGAACAACAATGAACCACTAGAAAGATAACCATATAGTACATCTGAGTGTATTAATTCTATTAAAATAAACAGATTTAATTAATTACTTTAATACTGTGAACACAGGTTTATAAACAAGAAAACTTGTGGAAGTGATCCTGAAAAATGCATAAAAATTGTTAATTCTTTCTAACTCCTAAAAATTCATTAATATGGAAATGTTTTTGAACAATATTGCAATATATGAAAAAACATATATCATGAGAAAAATTATCAAATGATTATTTAACCATATAATTACTGATGGGTTTCATATGGATCCCATCATATTTCAAAACAATTTTCTTTCTAATTTATTTATGCACCAAAGTTTATGAGGATTCATGACTTCAATGGTTACAAGATCCCTTATAACATGTGAGTTACAAAACAAACACGTAAACAAATACTAAGAAGATTGCAATTTATTCCACTAAATCCTGCTTGGATTTCTTTTTTCTATATAGTTTCCACAGAGAAATTTATGTTCTTTACACTGGAAGTTGTGAGAGGCAAAAACATAAATTAATCAACATGACACAATATGTAGACCCCACTGGTAGTGGACTGTATACAACTAATTGGTAATTTTATGGTTAAACAGTGTTCATTGAGTGCTATATCATAAGCATTGTGCAATGCATTTAGCACATTGTTTTTTAACACTTAATCTCTTCTACCTCTTTCAGCTTCTTTCTTTAACATTTATTCAAATGACATTTACAATAAAAGCTATGAGTATAAAAGTATAGATAATTTAACAGAGGTTTACCTGCCTAATACAAAAGTATAATTTATAAAGCTGCACTATATTATATAGTGAATATTATGCAAATTCCAAAGATTTGTTTTTGTTATGAATTTCACGCAAAGCTACACGAGGGCTATCTGCGCTAGCCGTCCCTAAGTTAGCAGTGTAAGACTAGAGGGAAGGCAGCTAGTCATCACCACCCACCACCAACTCTTGGGCTACTCTTTTACCGATGAATAGTGGGATTGACTGTCACATTATAATGCCCCCAAGGCTGAAAGGGTGAGTATGTTTGGTGTGACGGGGATTTGAACCCGCAGACTGCAAGTCGAGCACCCTAACAACCTGGCCATGCCAGACCAAATTCCAAAGAAGCAGGTACAATAGAAACTGGCTAAAAATGTCAAACTGTATGAGAAAGATGAAACACACATCAATTAGCAATAACTAGAAACAATTCTATCACATCTTATCAAGAACAACTGGGAAATAAAACTACCAGATGTGGCTCTTAACAAAGTTAGAAATCCCAAAGAAATAAAAAAAGGACAATTTTATGAAATCAAAGTCCTAGAAAAGAAAAGCAATTTAATAAATTTGTAGTTCCCATTATGAAATGAATAGAAAATAATATTCTAGTTATGATATCTTAATCAACTAACTGATAAAAGAAAGGAAAAATAACCATTCTTTGTGCTCGATCATTCTGGGATTGTTCCTATATAATGACTTTCTTTAAAAACTATTGCTTAGACATCTATTTATTTATCATAACTGATACTGTAGGATAATATTATGTTAGAATTGAATAACAATATTATTTGTTGAAAATTACTGAATGGTATTAGGCAACAGCAAATTATTTCTATTTTAAATAGTTTTGTGTATATTTAAAGATGCATACCAAATTTTGTTAACAAAACACATGATCTTAGCTAAGACAATAGTTAAGAAGAAGAAAATTCATTTAACTACTCAACAACTTAAGTTGGCAAACTCAAGAAATAAAAGATTTTAAGAAATAATTCACTACAATGATTGAAGCAAGGATTATTTGGTCACACAAGCTCGCCAATAACTACAAATGTACATATTTTACAATCGAATAAATACAGTGAATTCACCAAAGTAGCCTTATTAAAACTTCTCTGAGAAATAGGTTAACTGTGAGAAATATCAGTACATTTTAAACCCTAAGCATTAATGTAATTGTGCATTAGGCCTTGATTGTGCTAGTCTTTATAGTGTTCATCATGTGATCAGTACCTTATCTACCGCACCTGATATTTATGATATACTACCATACTTGTTAATGACTGCATATAAATCAAAAATATTATGGTAATGTTAGTTTTTTTTTTCTTTTGGATAGGTATAAAACATAGAAAGACTATAACTCCTGAAATTTGAGCAGATCGTGTTAGTCTTTTTGTTCTTAGACTAATAGCCGAGATAAATATTTTCATGATACTGTTTACAATTAAACGTTCCTGTACTTAACAATAAAATATAGTCAAACTGGTGTTTACATGCCAATTATTATAATATTGAAATCTACATCTTTGGTGATTATCTGTGTTTATACTGGTTGAGGTAAAGTTTGGTCACAATGTGCCTGACTGATTTGCTAGTGGCAATACTGAATGACAATAGTCAAATGTTTTATGGAATGACAGTCCCTATTTTGGAAAATAGTTGTTCTTATTGGTAAGGTGTTTTAATACTGGTCATACTTTTAATTTATTAAAGATTTTGCTGTGATACTAACCTGTGACTAATGACAAGGTGTTGAAAGTTAGTGTACTTACATGAGTTCATTGATAACATCTGCATGAACAGCAATCCTATAAAAGTTTCAGCTACCTAGTTATATCCTATTCTGTTTGTTAAAATAAATTAATTATATATTTATAATAATTTATTCTGAAGGAACTAAACTGATGATTGAATTTCAGAATCACACATAAACTATTTATGTGTAGTATTTTGTAAGTCTACATAAAGTTGACATTAGAGCACTGGGTCAATAATCACCCCAAGAATGGTAAATATTCATTTAGTACTTGTATACTAAGAGGTCTACTGATGTATTCATTGCAGTATGGTATAATTATAAATATGCACTTCTAAAAATATATACAACATTCTGATATATGGATGATATTTAAATACTACATAAGTTATGGGGGTAGTATTGGATAAAAAATACAGAAAAAATATGGATCCCTGTCCTGCAGTAGGGTTCAAAATGTTTCTAAGGTACTCCTGTACCAATTCCCAGTGTGGAAGAGAGACATTAAAAAAATTCCATTGGTACTAGAACAATGGGAGAAGAATTGATACAAAAAATTTACAGTTATATCAGAGGCTGTATGGGGCATTCTCTTTTGGAAGCTCCTATTTATGATGTAGATGGAATTTCTCTTTGATTTGTGATGTCCTGGAATATGGGCCAATTACAAAAAAATATCCTGATACATCTAACATTTATGTAAGGTTAAAAGTAAGCTAGACTCATAACCAAATTATAGAAGTTGGGTTTTTATGCTATATAATTACTCAAAAACGACTAAAAAGTATACTGACAAGGGGAGACAGCAGCTTCAAAGACACTTTTTGGAATCAGCAGACATCAGGCTACAATATCATATTAATTTTATTATGTTATACCATAAGTAGGAGTATTTCAAAATTTAGAGCACTTTTGGCATATTGGCTGTTACTCTATTTACACAGCATTCATAATTTTGTCCATCATTTGATTTGACAACCAGATACTCAAGTTTGGTCATAAATTTCCAAACTGGATTAGCCAAATTACTACAAAACTTACAATGTTAACTTAAACCTTAATAAAGTAACACTTTATTATTGTCAAGGAATTAACTAGTACATCTAAAATATATTTTCAAATACTGGTTTGTTACCAATGTCATTTCAGATGAGCTGCTATAGATAAATTAAAGAAAATAAAATCACATAAAAGAAAGGTATTATAACAGCCTTTTTTTTTATATTTGATAACTTTGTAAGTGGAAAAGCAATATACCAGATCTTGTTGTTTAGAGATTCAGCCAGTTCTGTTAATCTGAGGTGCAAGTAGATTCATTATCCCTTTATTTAAATTTTTTGGATCAAATATAGTTTTGAAAATTTCAAATGAAAGTCCAATATAGCCTAATTTATATGTAAACACAGCATAATAAAAGCACAATAAAGAAACAGTATTCAAATCTCCAATGAGTCTAAAGATTGTCAACCACATGTTAGGGTTAATTGTACAAAAAAAAACAGAGTACATTAATTTTTTTTTTCAAATACATTCTTGTCATAAGTACATAGTACTTATAGTAGGAATGAGGCAAATACACAATACATGCAATACAAACTATTTACTCATATAGACCTTTAACAACAAAATAATAAGTCTTCAGAATTGAGAGACAACCTTAGGTGATAAATAAACCACATACAAAATTACAAGTCATAGAACCACTTGAGAAAGTCAGCAGAGCAGATAAAGAAAATTCACAAAACCACAAATATCTCAATCTTACTGACTCACTAACATTGTTGAATGATTCTAGCCTTGTAACAAACAGACTTATCATAGTTATAAGTGAAGAGGGACCACATGCTAGTTCTAGTAATTTTCTCTACTAAACATCATCAAAAGAAGAGCTATCTGATGTACATCACGTAATACCTTGAACAGGGATGGCATTTTCAAATACATACATCTGCTCACTCACTCCATATACTGAATATGTGTCATCAAATAAAACAGTGAAGGGGATGTGGTCTTCTCGAGTTACAGCACTGAATGACAAGACCTGGAATCTATGAGTAGTATGCCAATGTAGGGTGAGCCTTGAGAGAAGCTTCACTACCTCGGCTAGAAGACAAGTTATGCTCTTTTGCAAGAAATTTATAATATATAT